TGATTAAACATACGGCTTTCAATCGCATGATTCTATAAAATGATAACACATGTCCTACGGGTCGAGAAGATTGACGGCTCTCAACCCATTTCTTCAAAGGTAGGGATATCTAATAGTCATGTCCTTATCTCTACAATGTATGCAAGAAACCATATCGAGAAGTGTGTCTGCCTTGCTGGGTACCAAGTCGAAAGTCGCTTAGTCCGAAAAAGCGTTTTACTTTAGATAGGTGTGGCTTCATAGCAGTCCTTCATTGGAGAATGCAAAGTCAGATGGCCCTGCAGGGAAGATGCAGAGAAGCAAGAAGGAAAAGGGGGGAACATTTTTGACCAATTAAGAAGTTTTAATGTGCGGCTTGATCTGACTCCATTCATAAGAGGGGTTGTGGCTGTCTGTAGCTCCAGGGCTTCCGCTTCCGCTTACGCTTTGAGGGAATATACTTTTCTCAGTATCATTATGCGAGACATGATCTTCTATAAGGGTTTCCTAACTTTAGATAACAACTTTTTGAAAAAAAATATGACAAATGAAGTTTAGGTCTATATAGTGGATTCGGCACTTTGTTTACCAAGTGTAATCACACCATTCTAACGTTCTCAGAGGCGTCTCAAAGCGCATCGCCCAGTCTCTGGGCGTAGCTTGATCGGCCGGCTCCGCTACGCCAAAGCTCAAAAATTTACGCAATAATAAACTTAAGCGATACGGCTCGCATAATACAGCTTAATCTGGGGTCCCGATAACAATTTAGGCCGAGGTGAATGTCGGCTGGTTCGTTGTCAAGGTCTGTGGACCAGCCCAGCCCGTCGATTACCCCAGAATTTGACGGGCCAAGCAAATCCATAATTCAAAACAGGATCACCATATATTAAATTTAAACTGACCGCTTCTTTACCCGAGCTTCCCGCTGGGATGCAAAACAAAAAGAGCACTAACACCCGGAAGGGCAGGCAGTAAGCCCTCTCTGCATACAAGTTATATTGGCTTTTGACAGAGTGGATCCCTCATAAGTGAAAAAGATACCTCGGGAGATTTTCTCGGGTGACTGATATATATTCTTCCGCATTGCCACTCAGCGTGGCGCGATTAGCAATTTGGGGGACTTAGGGTTGCATCCCGGAGTTGTTGAGGCCCAACGTTGTTAGAAGATAATAAGACGTTTTCTTAATATCATGATCGACTATGAATATGAAGACATTTCTAGGATATCCTCTATTTTTGCTTTAGCTAAGGTTAAACATTATTAAAAATGGGGGGGGGGGAGACTCACTTGGAGATCCAATAAAAACCACTTGAAGGAAACGGCTGAAAAGTGCGATATCAAAGGATAAGACTAAATAGACTAATTAACCGGTGAGATACCCGTAGTTAACCGGGCCTAGAAAGTTACAAGGTCACATCGCTTTTCAATCCTGATAGGCATTTCTTTTTGAGACATTGCACATGTTAGCCAATGGTCAAGTTTCTTGTCCCATCTCCACTTTGCATCCTGATCCTCCCCCCACTAAATGATAAAATTAACAAGGATGATGGTCAAATCATACTATAGGGTGTATAATACTTGCACTAGACCCCTTGTCTAGATCTTACTTATGTCGGATACCTCCGAACAAGAAAAGAAAAGAAAAGAAAAAAACAAGTGATTAAATTTAGATAAAGGACCTCATAATTTCATCAAATAATATGAAGTCAAGAATCCAAAGTAAAAAGAAACGTATCAAGTATAGATCGTGCCACTCAAACCCCCTTAAATCCCCTCTCCTACGGTTCTCGTCGGGGAAATTAGGGCAGGGGGGTGTCAATGCGACATTATCAACCCCTCTTGACGCCTGCACCGACAATCGCTACCTTTCTAGAAGCCGGGAAATTTTTCAGATTGGTGGATGCTTCGATTACCCCAGGTCCGCCATGGTCCGCTTATAATCCACAGGAACGTACCTGCGCGGGAGTTCGATATCGTCAGTAATCAGTGTCTTGTCGCAATTGGTTAAAACCCACACTCAGTCTAGTGACCCGCTATTATAAGGCTTCGATCTCCCTGATAGACACCAAATGATCTTCAGGATTTTGATTTTGGGCTTTTGTTGAGGGTCCAATTGTTGATCATTGACCCTTTTCCTTCTTATTCTCCTCTTTTTCCCTATCAGGTATAGATCTCTCTAAACAGTACACCTACACAATTACTCCTATACAGTAATTCAACATCCAATGCAATGACGAGAACCGGCCCTACAAATAATTCTATCGCCTGGGAAACCAAGAGCATTGTTCCAGATGATGGGGGCAGAATTGACTCGGTCGGGTGTCAAGATTCGAGGCCAAAGGGGCGCATTCGACGATCAATGACTGCTTGTAATACCTGTCGCAAGCTCAAGACTCGATGCGATGTCGATCCCCGTGGTCATGCTTGTCGTCGCTGTTTGTCACTTAGGTGTGTTTGGCCCTTTCATTTTTGTGTTTGACATATACCCCGATTTTTGCTTGTTTTTCGGAGTCCCCGGGTTCTCAATATGCTGACTATTGTCATCAAAGGCTTGAATGTGAGCTCCCCGAGACAACAGAGCGGTTCCAGGACAATGCATCAACCTGGTCTGACGCCACCACTATACCATCGATCGAGGAGCGGCTTGTTTCCCTCGAACGAGGCATGGGGGAGATGATACATCTGATGCGACAGATGGTGAACCGCTCCCCCAGCGTGTCCCGTAGCCCAATTTTGCAGGCTAGAAGCAACAGCATAGATGGAACATCTTCAAGCGATAGCATGTCCTCATCTTTCTATCCGCTCAAGCCGGCACAACTCATTCGAGATCTGCAAGCCGAATGCTTCGGCGAGAGAGATCACTTCTCCGATGCTGATATTCTGGGAGACATTGTCACCCAGGGCATCGTAGATTCCAAGCTTTCCATGAAATTGATTGAACTGTGTGTCTGATTGTGTGTCTATCACCGGACCTCCGTGCTAATGATCTCGCCAGTTTCGTCGAATATTTTGGTCATTGGGTCTCAATAAATCATTCGTCCAGCATTCAACGGTCGAATACACTCCTTTTCAACACTGCATGCCTCCTGGCCTCGCGGTATCTGCCTGGGCTACCACAACACACTGTCCGCGATATCTCACTCCATGTGCAACATGCCGTGGCCAAGGTGTTGTGGAAGCCCCCACCGATGACAAGCGATATGCTGCAGGCGTTGACATTGCTTTGTCTATACTCTACTTCTATTCACAAAGAAGGACTGATGGATGACTGGTTGCTGAGCGGGATCTCGATCAACCATGCCCTCATCACATTTAACTTCCTCAACACCTTGCCTGGAGACAGTTTAAATCCGGACGAGCTGTTTGCTCAGTTGCGTTTGTGGAATACACTCTGTGTAACCCAGCTACAGTATGTTCTGCCCAATAAAACCATCCGATATCCGATCTAACACCAAATAGCTCTGCCCTCGCAAACGGCCGCACTGTCAACATCCAACAACAATACATCGACCAATGCCCCCGCATCCTAGAACACGCAGGCGCCACAGCAGAAGATGGAAGAATCGTCGCTGAAATCCAATTATACCGCATCGCCCTCCGACTCCAACACAGCCAACACCGCCTCCAATTCGCAGAACCAGAATACGAAGAACTGGAGCGTTGGAAAATGGAATGGGCACATCTCCTAAGTACATCAACCCTCCCCTACATGCCAACCCATCCCAAACCCAAACCCAATCTAATAACCATACCCCGAATAGCAAACAGCGAAGAATCAACCCTCAACTTAAACCTCTGGTTCTGCCAACTCCTCCTCCACCGCACAGCCGCGCGCCTCCAACCAGATAGCGAGCGCCTGGTGCCAGAAATATGCGGTACCGCCCGCTTAATAATAACCCAATTCCTCCAAACCCGCTTTACCTCCGCACCCGCTCTAATCGACCATGTCTACTTTATTGTCGGCTATGCCGCACTCACACTATGCGACTACACGCTCTCCGACCCACTAATCAGCCAAGTCCGCGGCTTCCTACTGCACCTCGCCCCAGGCGGCGACAACCTCTCATACCGGATCGCGTGTATTGTCGGCGAAGTGCAGCGACGGTACTCAGAGGCTTCTGCTGTTGTGGCTAACGCCTCGCATTCGTCGTCGCCGGTTGCGGAGGTCAAGGGCGTGCAGATGTTCGGTCCGTCGCACCATCGTCCTGGTATGGATCTCTCGCAACTTATGTCTGGTGCGGAGGGATTAGATTCCCTTGTTGAGGGGTATAATTGCCTTGAGCAGATGATGCCTGGGTATGCGACTGCTTCGCAGCCTGGATTTGAGGCGCCGGATCTGTTTCATCATTCTCCTGGGACGGGTGTTACGGGTGGGGCTATGCCTGTTGGCCTGGTGCCGAGGGCTTTGCATGATTGGTGATGGGATTATTGGATATAGATTATTGGAGTTGGTGATGCGGGAACATGCTGAGTTGATAATGAGGTTGGATTTGTTGGAACTTGGCATTGTGTTGTGTTTTTTTTGGGCGCCGGATCGCAGTAGCAAAAAGCACAAATGGAAATAGTCATGACTTGTTCAAAATCAACTTTCTTTGTTTCGTGTTTTTATTGACCAAAGTAGTAAATCATACCTATTGCTGGATTTAAATTACTAGTTATTCAGCCTCACATAGTTTAGTTAGTTCAACCTTTCCCAACTCTCACAGTACAGCCTTCATTTAGCATTTAGCATGTTCTCATTTTTACAATCTTTTGAGCCCACAAGGCGAAAGGCAGATAGAGCCGAAGAGAGTTGTATTCTTGTTAGGTACAGCCTGGTCTACTAGGTACCACTCAACACAATCTAAAATATTGATAATTCATTGAAAAGTAAGTTTAAGAACACCAGTTAACTCATCTATACGCTCTCCCATTGCTAACAAAGCAAAGGAAGATCTATCTATCAAGAGCCCCCGAAAGAGCAAACGGGCAGTCAGTCTGGCCTCGATCAACTCGACCACCAATACCTCGAATCCAAAGTCTATGACGCACACAGGGTAGAGCCCTCAAGCAAAGCAGTGGGCAACAAAATTCTCGGCTCTCCACCCGCCATAGGAACAGGCACCTCCCCACCCTCAGCAACAGTAACACTGGCGCAGGACACAACCTCCGTCAACTTATCACCAGCCTTGAATCCAGTCTCAGGAATCGAAAGCGAGTACTCTTTACCGCCTGCACCGAGATTTGTCAGGACGGTAATTGACTGCCCGCCATCATAGCCCTTGCGCATGGCGATGGTGCTCTCGTCTTTGTAGATTGGGTAGTTCTATGAAGTGTTAGTCTTTCCCGTTCTTCTTTCCCTTCTTTCCCTGACAGAGAGAGACAAGCATGTACCTGGTAAATAGTATAATTGGTACCCTTAGCAATGGCCACATTTCTAGCACCATTGGCCGTCGCAATGAGTTTGTATAGTTCGCTGTCCGTGTCGAATCCAGACAACCACAGAGCCTCGCGATTAGCTGGGTCCTCGCCGCCGCTGTAGTGTTGCTCTTGTCCTGCGTAGACAATAGGAATGCCGTCTGTCATGATGGTGAATGTGGCTGCGTTCTTAGCGAGGGAAATATCGTCGGTGACGCTGGGTTCCCGAGGGAGAGATTTTAGTTTCTAGACATATCAAGTGGAGTCATTTTCCGTTGATTTGATGGAATTTCCACTTACGAGGCAAAACGTGGGTTGTCGTGGTTCTCTAAGAAATTTCCGAGAAGCGTTGAGTCCTTGCAGCTCGATTTTACCGTGTTGATCATGTTGTATAGGGCGGCCATGCTTCCCGAGGTCGATTGGAACGCGTTGAGGAGTGGATAGTAACTATCATGAATTAGCTTTGGCTCTCCCTGTGTATCTGGTAAGATCCATGGAAAAGCGGGATCTCACATTGGGTAGTTGAGCACTCCATCCATTACCTCCTGGTATGGACAAGTATAATCAACGTCGCCGTCAAGGACCTCGCCTACGCAGTAGACGCCGGCGGCTTTGTTGTAGCCGGGCCAGAAGTCTTTCTTGACATGTTTGACTGTGTCGATACGGAGGCCGTCAACTATATGTTGGTTAGCTTCTGGATATGACGATGTATTTTGTTAAAGCAGATGAGTTTGAGAGATAACAACTCACTCGAGTAGTCAGTAACGAACTTTCCAACCCAGTCATACCATATATTTTGCACCTCCTCGCTGTCTGTATCCAGATCCGGTAGAGAAACAGAGTTATCACCAAGCCAGCAGTTCTGGGCCATGGTGTCGTTGCTGTAATCGGTGATTGGGCAGTAAGGGTGGAAATACTTCGCATCGTTGAAGGGGTTGAATTTGGAGTAATCTACGTCAGTGCCTGCACCAGCGTAGCCCTTTTTGTCCAATATATGTCAGTCTCAGCCCGTATGATTGTGGATGTGGATGTTTTACACACCATGTGGTTTGCTACGACGTCGACCATGAGATACATGTCGCGTTTATGTAAAGCCGCCGCGAGGGCCTTGAGATCGTCTGCAGTCCCGTAGTTCGAGTCAAGAGCCTCGCTTTAATTTGGTCAGTAGGGATGTAGGGCTTGAGGGATGTCTCCTTTCTGCTTTGCGATACTCACATATCCTGCTGCCAGTATCCGTGATATGGATCTCCGTACTTGGTGTCCTCAGTCAATTGACCGGTCACAGGAGTGATCCAAATGGCCGTGAAGCCCATTCCTTGGATGTAGTCTAGCTGAGATATAGTTAGTTGGATGAGATAGAAAGGATTAGATCGTTACTGACCTGGTCTATGATTCCTTGCCATGTTCCGCCACAGTATTTCTGTTCAACATAGTTAGCTCTGTCTTAATATCACAAAGTTAATATATAGATATAAACTTACTCTAGCATCGGTATCACAGGCGGCAGTAGTCGAACCGTCCGTTCGGGCAAAGCGATCAGTGAGCATGAAGTAGATCGACTGTGAGCGCCATTCAGCTGGAGTCGCAGCAATGGCAGTGCCAACCAAGCCGGCAAGCCAAGCAAATCGTGCGAGAACCATATTGTAGAGATCTCAGCACCAATAACTCAGCGAAGGAGAGGAAAGTCGTCCGGCAATGGGATATTCAACAATAACAGCTGCTGCAAGGGACCTGGTATAAATATCCCAGCAAAATCTATGCTTACAACGGGTATCCCGCAGACAAACAGAGATACCGGAGACCAATGACCGTTGAAATCGGACTCCGGGATGAAGTATGGGCTTAAGCCAATAAACGCCAAAAGCCCAGATGAAGATCTTCACAGATGCAACTGCGTAAATGAAAAGATAACCCCTCTAAATGCGCGTCCCCAGCCGCAGCAGATTCCAAGACGAGACAAGAAAACACAGAAAGAGGGTTGAAAGGTGAAGAACTCCATAATTAATAACAGAACCGATAGTGTCGCGAAACAAAATATGATCCTTCATATCTAATTTGTCAGATCTCGATTTCTACCAAGGAGAAAAAGCAAAGTTACACTCAAATGTATACATGCATGAACAACCTTGAAATGATTAGCTCGATTTACAACGGCATGTGCTAAATTAAATAATCCCTGTGAGAGCCCCTGACACGGGCGTTGGTCGAATCAACGTGCGCGGGGGGTTGGACGCCAAATTTGCAAGGATGCCGGGATGAAGAGGGGGTTGCAATGGGCTATTGGCTCGTTTTAGATGATGTAGATCTTTTGTACAAAGTAAATTTCGGCCTTTAGTCGGACACGCCGAGTATGTTGTAGATGCAGCTAGGAGGATTTCGGTTATGTACCTTGTATATTGAATGATGGGGAACTATATTATAGGCATAGGGCTGGATCTGATGACGTGTGTGCTATGAAACACAATATACAGTATAGGCAACCTATACTCCGTACTTGGCTTCATAAAGCGGCCCGACATGGGGGATCGCAGTCTGTGCATCTTTGAACAGGTCATTTATGAATGCGACCGGGGGAGCGTGCGGCGTATTCTATACTCGGCTGAGGGTATACGGAATCACCGTCACATTAACAATAGGAGCTTGGGCTTTAGATGGGAAGGGATGGCAAGAAAGACGAAAACAAGATAATCAGATGTCGCGAAAGAAGGGAAAAAGCATATAATAATAAGTCCATTATAGGCGTTAATCAATAGAGATACCTGACTGCTATTGGGATAAACTATAGAGAAGACAGCAGACCCCTGAAACATCCCACAATCTACCACTTCAAAGTCCAGTTCTCACTGAAAGCACCCTCTTTAGTCAACTTCTGCAAACCACCAACAGACAGCACCTGCGAAGTAGCATTGTAATGTACCTCAGAAGCCGACACATGTTTACCATTAAACCTAACAGCATCAGGCTTTTTAGACACACCAAGAACAGTGACAGTAGCAAGAGGATTTGACTCCTCCCAGTTACCCTTCGCCCTGGCACTCAAGCTGGGACCCTTGACCCTAAAGGAAACATCAAGCGTTTCCTCCGGAGCATTGCTCTCCCCATCATCGAGATGTAACTGACCCAAAGCGGCTCCACTGCCACCGAGCGCGACAAGTAAAGACCAGGGCGTGCCACGAGCCTCTTTCGTAGTCAAAGCCGGCTCCTGCATCGGCAAGACGCTGCCTCCTCGCACGAAAAGGGGGATATGGCCGAGCGGGGCAGGGATGGTGGTGTTGACACCAGGCTTTGCGTCCACGACTGTCTGGGTGTACCAGTCATACCATACCTCGCCGTGCTTGAGGCCTGGGAAGACGCCCTTGACGGAGGTGGCTTGGGGAGCGAGCACGGGCACGACCATGATTGAAGGTCCGAGGAGGAACTGGGTATCGACTGCGGCGAGGGAGGGGTCTGTGGGGAATTCCCAGGCCAGGGCGCGCATGACGGTGGAGCCGGTTGTGTGGGCTTCGTGGAAGAGGGTGTAGAAGTAGGGGAGGATTGCGTAGCGAATCTTCATGGCCGATTTGGCGGCGGCTGTGACAGATTCCCAGACATAGGGCTCTTGGGGAATTGCGGAGAGGGTGTTGTGGTTGCGGTAGAAGGGGAAGAAGGCCGAAAGTTGCATCCAGCGGTTACAGAGTTCTTCGTCGGTGTTGCCGTTGAAGCCGCAGGTATCGACGCCGAACATGGGGATCCCGAAGAGGGAGAATGAGAGGGCCTGGGGAATGGAGAAAAACATGAATGCCCACCTAGAGGCGTTGTCACCACCCCAGTGGCCGGCCCATTTACCTGAGCCTGCGAATGTTGAGCGACCAATGATGAAAGGACGCTTCTTTTTGTCGACCTTCAACAGGCCATGGTAAGTGGCGTTGAGGATTTGGTGGCCGAAGAGGTTGTGCACATCGTATTCTTGGACGCCATCGGAGTGAGTGGCATTCGGGGACACGGCGTGCGAGCTAAGGTCGTGGCCACCCTGGTCATGGTTGATCACATATGGTGGGTAGTTGACGTTGCGTACTCCCGCAGTGGGTGTAGTCCGCAGATAAGATGTTGACGAAGAGGCAGAGCCACCAGTTGCGGCGGCAGCAGCCTGGCTGGACGATGCAGCAGATGCAGAAGCAGCCTCGGTCTTGTTGCTGATCTCAAAGCCTTCCGGATAATCATAAATAACGTTGCCGGGCTCTCCAGGCAGGGCGAAGGGAGGGTGGGCTGGGTTCATGCTAAGATTTCCAGATCCGCAGCTGCCAACGCAGAAGGAAGAAACCTCGTTCATGTCAATCCAAATACCGTCAATGGCTATTTTCTTATGCCAGGTAACAATCTCGTTCGCCCAGAAATCGCCAGTCTTAGGATTGTGCCAGTCGGGGAAGACAGTGTAGCCGGGCCAGACAGCGCCAATGTACTCGCTTCCATCGGGGTTCTTCAGGAAGACGTCATCCTTGTGTCCACGGGTGTAGGTATCATAGCTGAGTAGAGATCAGCATTGTTTCTGCGGGACAGGCCCAGGGGAACTTACGCATCAGAGTCGTTCTTGGGGTTTGGAATATAGAGAGCGGCATCTATAATGGGAACATAATGACGGCCACTGCTGTGTAGCTTATCTAGGAACTCCTCACCCTCACTGTAGGGATAACGATGTTGATCATTGTCGAAGTCGCGGTAACCATGCATATAATCAATGTCATTCCTAGTCATGTTAGAACTTGCACCATCGAAAGGCACAGTGTGTCAATTTACCAGATAGTCTCGAGCGGGATTTCAAACTTCTCAAAGTTGGCGACAACTTCTTCAAGCTCAGTCCAGTTATTGTAACCCCAGCGGCACTGGTGGAAGCCAAAAGTAAAGTACTGCTGCAATGCTGGCAAGCCAATGGTGCTCCGCTGGTAGTTCTTGGTCACATCCGCTTGGCTAGGACCCGAGTAGAAAGTGAGATCAATACTCCCTCCCAGGGTGCGCCATTTCAGGCCCTCGGGGTTCATGACTATCTCCTGACCATGGGCATTTCTGGAGAAGACACCGTGCGAGAAGGAAACATAGTTCTTAGACTGATCGGCCTTGTCACTTGAAATGAGGGTGTGATGACCCTTGTGGTTAACCTCGTAGTAGCGGGTGTCCAGATAGAAAGGCTGGGAGCCATAAAGATTGCTGGTAAAAGTAGTCAGCACCAAACGGCAGTACAAGTGAAAGGGGGAAAAGAGATAAGGAATGAAGCTCACTCATCAATGGGGTCACCAATATCTGACGCATAGAGAGTCAAAGTGAGATTGTTCAAGAGGCGCAACTGCTGGATGTGCTCTCCGATGCCATACAGATTATAATCCTTGGGCAAAGAGGTAATGAACTCAACAAACTGATTCTCAAACACCAAGACCGAATCAGTGGTATCGAAGATCGCATCACGGGTAGCCTTGCGGGTCACTTTAAAATGGAAAGAGGGCTGATTTGACCAGGTGATCTCAAGATCACTATGGTTCTTTGAAGTATGACGATCGGAAGTGGGGCGGGGAACAACATGGTCATCCAACACGAACCAAGAATAGTTTGAAGAATCAAGGTAAGTTGGGACGATTTGAACATTGAGGCGATCATTAGCGAGGTACTCGATGGAAAAGTCCAATGAGTCTACATCGGTGCCGTAGACATTGCATGGCTTTCCGGCTAGGGTCAGAGTAGCGGTCAATCCACGAGCAGATTCCTTGACGTTCGATGCCTTGTACCCAGGGCAAACCGACTGGGCGTCAACGGCTTCAGGGTCATCGATATTGGCAATCAACTGTGCGCCAACATCAGCGCTAGAGGGGATGGTAAATTGGGAGTATTTTCCCGAAGAAGTCGAAGAGGCGGCAGAGTGAGAGACCAAGCCCTTGGCAGATGTTGAGAAAGCCCCATAGGCTGTGGGCAAGAGCCAAGCACTGGCAAGAAGGTTCTTCACACAAACCATGACCACTTCCCTATTTTGGTTGCAGATCCGGGGAATCTTTGTCTCATATAATTATGTTCCAGCTTGTTTTTATAGATTGAGTTATACGTATAGGAAAGTGTAGGGCCCCGATATGCCGATTCCGAATATCCGCTGATTCTCCGATGCTTACTTTTGCCGAGTGGCTGGATTTTGCGGGGGTGAAGTTGAAGTTGATCAAGCTTTAAGCTAAAAGGGGGGGAAATGCGGAAATGTCCCTTACGTCCGCGAGGTCTACGGAGTACGGAGTACTGTATAACCTACACAGAAGAGACATTTCCGACTTACCTAAATATTACACAAGCCTGGATATACCTAGGTATGTCATCCCATAAATATTAATAGGATCATGTATCAAACTTGGAATCTTAACCAAGTGGAAGATTATTACTCCGGATCATCCTACTCATATAAAAACCGCCGATCACTACATGTATAGATCACACCATTCTAGACCGATGATTGGCCAGTTGTCCGACAAATGCCCGTGGACAATAGCAAGCTACAAAGTACGAAGTACTGGAATTAATATATAGAAACCCACTTAGTAGAATGTCATCATCTAACTCCCTGCCAAGCTGCGGTGAGCCCTTTCTCTCTAGTGGAGAATCTTATAACTACGGGATGCCCGGACGTTTACAGGATTCTGGAGTAACTCTGGGACTCTCGAACCTCGGGACATTATTGAAATGGCCGTTCCCATCTCTACTGAACTATACAAACCAATAACCATGCTATATAAAACCGTCCAAGTCATATCAAACCATACAAAACCATATCGAACTAGAGCTATACTAAGCGCCGGAACTATGCACTTCAACCCACACGGTATACATAGAAGCACACAATCCCCCTTTAACATTCGGGAAGCCGAGAAGGATACGAGAAGGAGTCATCTCGGTCCTTGCGGGAGGTCCAGGGCCAAAGTATACATAGATTAATGAAGCCGTGAAGGAGATTGATTGGATCGGGTATCATGATGCGAGGCGGAGATGAAGGCCCAGCGTAGTCTAGCGCTGTCCGCTATATACTAAACAGGTTAAACGGGGCGAGAAAATCCCGCATCTTTGATTTTAGTGCACCTGTCAATCAGCGCTATGAAGATATCAGGCATCAGAGCCGACTTGGCCCCGAGAGGTACATGGCCAAGAGGCGACTTCGCTTACGGGCCGAGATTTGGGATCCATATTAATCTTAACAGAGGATCATAGGGATATCTGGAATGGGGTCACTCAATAAGTCGAATTTCATGGTGATCTTTATGATCTTTGCATGTATCTTTATATCCCGGAGGCCGAGGGGGGTGTATGTAGAGAAAGAAGTCGGGCCGAGAGGCGCCCCTGATCTAGAAGAGTAGTAAGAATAGCATCCAGGACTTCTATGCAAGTAATATCAAAAATAATGAAGCATAACGCCAACGCAGGGGCCTATGCGGGGTCTTCTTTTCCTTGTCCCCCCGCGCTTCCCCAGGTTTCTAGTGATTTTTATTATAATGGGCCATACCCTGGAAAGTCCCCGGATGAAACCACATCTTTTTTTTAAATCTTTTGGCCCTAACATGAACTTCAACTCTACTGAGTCTAGTCAAGACTTACCAAACAATGTCCACCAAACAATCCAAACCAAAGCAAGCATGCGACAACTGTCGCCGTCGCAAAATAAAATGTTCCCGTGAACTACCATGCGATAAATGCCAACGGCTACTTCTCTCCTGCTCATATAGCGACGTCCTCCGTCGCAAGGGGCCCAAATTTCGCACTCTATATCCCCTAGCCCCGATCCATCCTCTCTCATCCCGAATCGACCCTCCCGAGAATCTGTATCCCGAGGATGCTAGCACCGGCGAGATCCCGGATTACCAATTCAACTCGCCCATCTCGCCAGGGTTTATAATCTCAGACTCGCAGTTCTCAGGCCAGGACTTCTCGGATACTTTTTCGCACTTGCCGCCTCCAGAACTCGTCTCATCCCCGGGTTCCACGGACTCAAATGTGGAATCCGCCATTGGTTATGGCTATGGATATGCGAGACCGGCCCCCCGCCGTCTCTCGCCGCAGATTTTGCTCGTGCATGTCAATATCTACCTCAAGTACTTGTTCCCGATTATGCCGGTGGTTCGAGGGGAGCAGCTCCGGGTGGATTGCCACCAGCCCGGGCAGCTGTCTGCGCAGCGGTATGCATTTTTGGCATCGCTGTGTGCGGCTACGCATATCCAGTTGAAGCTAGATGGACCAACGCCTGTCTCAGATCCTGCGCGTTTGCAGAGTATGAATATTGGGGATGGGCACTCGTTGATGTCTGGGGAAGAGCTTCTCGCGGAGGCCGTGCGGGCGCGGCGAGATTGTGATGTTTTGGAAGAACTTACCACAGAGTCTCTTTTGACTTCGTTCTTTCTGTTTGCCTCGTATGGGAATCTTGACCGTCAGGATCAGGCCTGGTTCTTTTTGTGCCAGGCTACCTCGTTTGCGTTTACACTTGGTTTGCATCGCGAATCGACGTACGCAGAGTATGAGGTTGAAGAAGCCGAGGAAAGACGGCGTGTGTTCTGGCTTTTGTTCATCACAGAGAGGTGAGTGATCTGATTATGAAGCAATAGTGGTTTGGACTGGTGCTAATTTGTGAATCGACAGAGGTTATGCTCTCCAGCAAGCGAAACCGGTTATGCTGCGCAGCTCTATCCATAAGCCTCAGGTCCTTTGCTCAGAAGATCCTATCCTGGCTTATGGATTCATCAACCTGATCAATATCTTTGAAAATCTCACCCCGACCCTTTATGATTGGATCTCCGCCGGTGGCGGAGATGGCATCTTGGAGAGGCCGCCAACCTCCGCCATCCAATCCAACCTGTGCAAGGCCATTTCCCTAGAGGGAGTCCTTGAGATCCAGCAGGTTGATATCTTGATCACGCAACAGTGGCTGCAGACTATGATGTGGAAACTGTCTATGAGCCATGCCACACAGCCTGGTTCGCGCGATGACGCAGTTTTGCCATTTCACCTACCAGTGATCGTGGGTAAATCCGTGATGAGCGTGATTGGTGCTGCATCGCAGGGTGCTGTTGATGCGCATGGGATTGGAATGGTAAGTCAATCCGAGATGAAGTTGTTTATTCGTATTCATATACTGATTTGGATGTTATAGGAGCAAAAACTCTTTGATCTAGGATCCTCCGTCGCCGATGTGACGAGGTCTCTTGGACCAAAAGCTGTCCATAGACTAGCCGAGTCAACCATTGATCCAAACGAGTTGCTGTGGGGTATACTTCACACGCTTTCTCAGATACGTGGCTCGCCCTCGTACCTCTTCCCTACATTGCTGGATCGTTGCAGAACCGTGCTTGGACTCGACTGCAACATTACCACGGGGAATTTCCTTCCTATACTCGGCGCTGCTGTGCCGGACCAGCTGGCTTCATGGTCTGGCCAGCATGTCTGGAATTACGCTGCTAGTGCTGAGGATATTGAGATCCATGATGCCGATGGCCAAACTGAGTCAGCTCCCCATGCGCATGTGCCGCAGGAAATGGGTTTCGATAATTGTCTCTTGGGATGATGGGCATCTTTGTCAACTGTTTTGAATTTGTGATACGGATTTCTTTTGTTGTATGATACCACGTGGAGTTTTATAGATGGTTGTTTATGATATGGAGGCAGAACTGAATTATAGAACACGACCAATGCCTCAATGCATCAAATCCATGGTTATTGTGTAGTCGATGTACATCGTAGTCGAGAAGGAAGCTCATAGCTATGAGCAGTCAAATTGTCTTGGCATGTTTGTCTCGGCATCTCCAATTTGGTGATCGGCTTCATGCGACTTTCTCTTCTCAATTGCTCGGGATATTCTTTATTTGGTATGCTCTCTATTGCTTTTAATACTCCTTGAGACCCGCTAACAAATTCTCAGATAATCCTCGAGTCTCCGCATCAACCAAAGCTGATCAGAGCACCAAACCCCGGAGCCAATTCTCCAGAACCTCAAATCTCGCCCACAACCAACATCATTACCTACACCATGGCTTCCCTCCGTCCCCGTACCCTCCCTCTCTCAGCCCGAGCCCTCCGCTCAAACCTCCGCTCAACAAGACCCTCACCAAATCACTTCCTATCAGCACTCGCATCCACCCCATCGACCCAAACCCTCCCAACCCGCGCGCACTCAACATCCTCCGTCTCCGCCGATGAACTCTCCCACTTCTCCGCCCTTGCCAGCTCCTGGTGGGACCCAATGGGCCCCTCCAGAATCCTGCACCTAATGAACCCCCTCCGCCACGAATTCATTGCCTCCTGCCTAGCCGAAGGAACCTCAAACCCAATCGCATCCACCCCCTCCACCGCAACCCTCAACTACCTCGACGTAGGCTGCGGCGGCGGCATCTTCGCCGAATCCCTCGCACGCACAATCCCACTCGACCCAACATCCCCAGCCCCAACCCCAACCCTCGCCGCCTCAATGACCGCAATCGACCCTTCAACAAACCTAATCCAAATGGCGCGCGAGCACGCGCGCATGGATCCAACCGTCGACACGCACCTGCGCACAGGTCGCTTCAAGTACCTCAATACCACGCTAGAGGATGTCCTTGCCGGCAATGCTCCGATTTCGACTTCCGCTCCAAACCTCCCAAATTCCAACTCTCCCTCAACTCAAGTCACTCCCCCACAATACGACGTCGTAACTCTCTTCGAGGTCCTCGAACACATCGACCCGAAAACCTCAACCCCGCTAAGCTTCCTGACAAACTGTCTTCGTGCTCTCAAGCCTGGCGGTTGGCTAATTGGATCTACTATTTCTCGGACATTGCCGTCATTCATCCTGAACCAGGTTATTGCCGAAGCGCCGTGGCCGATTGGTGTTGTGCCGCGCGGGACGCATGAGTGGAGTAAGTTTGTTAACCCGGATGAGGTTAAGGGGTGGTTGCAGGAGGGGTTGATGAGAGCTGCCGATACGGGTGTTTCGAGGGGTGGGAGTGCGGTTGCGGAGGGGATGAGGTGGAAGTGTGTTGGTGCTATTTATATTCCTGGTATTGGGTGGAAGATGGTGCCTGGGAGTGAGGATTGGGGTAATTATTTCTGGGCTGTTAGGAAGGAGGTTTAGATGTGATATTATGGTGTGTATCTATACTTGCATTGTTTTGAGCTATTTGTATATTATTTGGTTTTTGTTAACTTCTACTGAGCTTGTACTCATTGCATATCGATGATTCATAAACTCATACATGTATTCATTGACTCGTTTTCAGTGTACTCAGTACACATCGCTAAATGCACATAACCACCCAGCCACATCCCTATTAGGGACGCAAAAGAATACAATCCTAAACCCAACCCACTCTCAATTCCGAGTAAAAATGAACGCAAAAACTTCCCCCTAAAACTACTTCTTTCCCTTCCCTTTCCTCTTCTTCTTTGAAGCAGGCGGATCAGGCACAGAAACAGTCCCCTGCTCAACCTCCTCACCCTGCCCCTGCAACCTCTGCGTCCCACTAATAAAGAAGGTCAAATCACGATTCTGGTCCGCCAGATCCGCATTCGCAACCTTCAGCTCATCAACCTCTTTAGCAAGCCCCTCCAACCGCAACAACATATTCCGATTCATAGCTTTCTCCTCTTGAAATCCCTTCTCAAAAGAGCGCGCCAGCGCCTCGAATTTCTCTGCTCTTTTCTCCGCACGCGCGCGGTCGTGTTCAAGCGACGGCAGCGTCTCAATTGTCACGGCATCGTACTTGGCTTGTAATTCTTCTAGACGCGACGAGGCGCTGGAAGCGTTAATTTCCGCCACGGCGGCGGCGGCACTAGCCTGCGATGCTTTGTCGACGGCGCGCTCGACTACTTCTTCGAAGTACGCGCGCTGGCTTTCAAGCTGACTGGTGAGGAGGTGTGTATATTCGATACTCATGTTTTCTAGTTTCTCGCGGGGGACGGCATCGCCCCAGTCTGGTGGGTCGAGGGCGCTGTGGTCTGCTGCGGGTAGCTCGAGGAGCTTTCCGTCTGTTTTATTTTGGATTATGCGGTGGACGTAGGCGTCGCCTACATAGTCCCATACGCGCTGGGAGGTGAGATCCATGGAGAAGGCGTGGGCTGTTTCTTTCCAGTGGGCGAAGGCGTGGGCGTTGTCGTAGCGGCCGCAGCCGATCGTGCCGCAGATTAGACAGGCCCAGAGGTTTTCTTCAGAGTGGCAGATGCTGCATTCTTGGGGTTCTTCGTCTGGTTTCAGGGATGCGTTGCTTTTGCGGTAGTCATCTTGTGTGTATCGGCATACGGGACAGCCGCTGCCTTTCCATTTTTGGAGACAGGTGCAGTGGAAGACGTGTTGGCAGTTTATTGTTAGCAGGCCCGTGGTTTCGTCCATTCGCTCTAGGCAGACGGGACAGGTTGGTAGTTCGATTAGTGCAGGGGTAGGTGGCGCGAGAGGTTTGCCAGTGAGAGTTGCTTGTCCGGTAGAGGATACCGGGGGCCGAGAAGGGGTCGAGAGGTTAGAGGGTGTAGCACCATGCTCAGCAGATGGTGTTTCGGCATCCACGACTTGGATTTCAACGGTCTTCACAAACACCACATGGCAGGTCTCAGGCTCAATGCTGTTAAACACATGCCCATTCCATTCCTTCTGCCATTCCTTCGCCTTGCGCCCACTCCGGAACTTCATCAAAACCATATACCGATTCGCGCGCGCAGTCCTAATCATCCGGAAATGACTAACATCATCCATAGTCTTCTGTCCCATGAACCCTAAAAAGTCCGGCGGCGATAGATAAGACGGCACAGCGAGAATACATAGTGTCGTGCAATCCTCATCAGGACCCTGCGCAGAGGAAGAAGTTGTCTCAGGGAAAGGGTATTCTGCAAGGCCCGCCGTCCCAGGTTGTTTAGCACCCGCCCCACCGGCTACACCCTGCCTCAGCGCGGCCTGCTGCTCACCGGGGTGGCGGGCCGCAGCGGAGGAGCCCTTCAGGTAGGCGGGGTAATCGTCATCGTTTCCGAGGTAGGGTGTCTCCTGCGAATCGCGATACAGATGTACAATTCCCCAGACGCTGTCGGCAAGCTCGTAATCGAGTGGGATGTATCTGCCTTTTGTGCGGAGGCCGCCTAGGATATCAGTGCCGATGCCTGCGGCAACTAAGTTCTCTGGTTCTGTGGAGGTGGAGCCGCGCTTCGGGGTGCGTTTGGGTGGGTGTTTGGGGGTGACCATGTCAATGCAGTCAATGGAGACGGCGCCGAAGCGCTTGTCGTTTTCGAGTGGGGTGGTGCTTGCGGAGGGAGTGGTTTGAGGTGGGGTGGGAGTAGTGGTGTGGGTGGAGAGGGTGGATATGACTTTCTGGCGATGCGCCAAAGTGTGGTCTGGAGGTGGGGTTTTATTATCTCCTGCGGGAGATAGGCGGTTGGAGGTTGAAGGCCGGCTCCGTTGTTGGAATGGTTGGAGAGCGTCCCATGCGGATTGTAGCGCGAGAGAGTCTCCCTGCGAGCTCGGCGTGTCGGATAAGCTATGGGGGAGGAGTTGCAAGCTAAGGTGATAGAAGTAAGCGGGCATCCCGGACGACGGCTCGCATCCTCTGGCGTTGCGACTTTTTGGAACTGTTGAAAGAGGAAGTCGTGTTATCACGATAAGGATGTATGATTACTTAATGCAAGAATAGCGGGCCGCTTATGCAGCCTTGGGGTGTCTTTTTGGTAGTCTTTTTAATGGCCTTTTTAGATGTCTCTTTTTTTAAGATATATTCTCCTCAATTTTATAGTCGTAATGCAGAATACTGAAAAAAAAAAGGTTATACCATAAAGACAAGTTTTCTATGTATAACCGTAGAAATTATTGTCGCCCGCTTCTGCACCTTGCGCCACAAATGGTTCCTGGCACGCGAGTGTGGCAAAGAGGCAAAAACGATTGAGATTCGGAAGCGCGTTCTGGAAGGTGAGGTGGCAAGAACTGCACTTAGAACCAAATTTCCTAGATGAGACACTTACATGGGACTTGCACATAGGTGATGCTAGAGGGATAAACAATTTTTCCCCATGTCTGCGTCGATAACATTGATCATACCATGTCAATAAATACTACATATTAGAATTACAATGAAAGGGCATGCTAGATTGACTAGCAATTGCTAGAGTGAATTGTAGAGAACTATCTATCACATATCGATGATAATAATGTGGACAAAGTAAAAGAGAGAAGCCGTCCTCAGAAAACACAGTGCAAAAAAAGAAGCCTCAGCCTCGAAAACCGACCAAACGCCATGCAGGTCATATAGAACCTATCGAAGTTGAGAAAAATCATTGAATTACTGGCCGCCACGCAGACGCAACACCAGGTGAAGGGTGCTCTCCTTCTGGATGTTGTAGTCCGAAAGAGTACGTCCGTCCTCAAGCTGCTTACCAGCGAAGATAAGACGCTGCTGGTCAGGAGGGATACCCTCCTTATCCTGGATCTTGCTCTTGACATTGTCAATGGTGTCTGAGCTCTCAACCTCGAGCGTGATGGTCTTTCCGGTCAAGGTCTTGACAAAAATTTGCATACCACCGCGGAGACGGAGGACAAGGTGGAGTGTGGATTCCTTCTGGATGTTGTAATCGGAGAGTGTGCGGCCATCTTCAAGTTGCTTGCCTGCGAAGATCAGGCGCTGCTGGTCGGGGGGAATGCCCTCCTTATCTTGAATCTTGGACTTCACATTATCGATGGTGTCGGATGACTCGACTTCAAGCGTAATAGTCTTGCCAGTGAGTGTCTTGACGAAGATCTGCATACCACCACGTAGACGGAGGACCAAGTGAAGAGTGGATTCCTTCTGGATGTTGTAATCGGACAGAGTACGGCCATCCTCCAGCTGCTTGCCGGCGAAGATCAGGCGCTGCTGGTCGGGGGGAATGCCCTCCTTGTCCTGGATCTTGGACTTAACGTTGTCGATGGTGTCAGATGACTCGACCTCAAGGGTGATGGTCTTTCCAGTCAGGGTCTTGACGACTGTGGCAAATGTTAGTCAAGTGAAAGTGACTAGGGTGTGAGTGTGTGAGAAGAAAACACTTACAAATCTGCATACCGCCACGGAGGCGAAGGACCAGGTGGAGAGTGGACTCCTTCTGGATGTTATAGTCGGAAAGCGTGCGACCGTCCTCAAGCTGCTTGCCAGCAAAGATCAAACGCTGCTGGTCAGGAGGGATGCCCTCCTTATCCTGAATCTTGGACTTAACATTGTCGATGGTATCGCTTGACTCCACCTCAAGGGTGATGGTCTTGCCAGTGACTTAAGAGACAAAGGAATGTTAGTAAGGATGTCCATAGGTTGAATTGCAAGAGAGGGCCGGTGAGACCCAGGCAGTCTCGAATAGGCTTCAGATAAGGGTGAACGTACGAGTCTTGACAAAGATCTGCATGATGGGCTTTGTTATTTGTGTGAGATGTATGAAGGGGAAAGATGCTCTCAAGTGAAGCGACCTGGATAGAGAGTTGTAAGAAGGGGGAAAGGTAGAAGAGGGGGAAACAGGGCCCTTATGTAGGAAACCTTGGAAGGATGAGGGGGCGAGGCGTCTTAGTCAGGTGCAGGTGACGCCGTGAAAATGCCAGAAGGTGCCGGATGAGTCAAACAGGTGCCTGGGAACAGCCCATTTGACGCCACCTGGAAAACTCCGACACGCATATCTTGGATTATCTAATTATATTAACATTTAAGAATTCTATAACTTTTATAGGTTATACCTATATCTTATAGGTTCTACCTATATCCCTAGGGAGGTTCTTTATCCCCAAGTGATGACGTTGCTTATCTTTAAAAGAGGGGGTGGACCTTTTAATGGGGACGCTAGTGAGAAAGTACAGGGTACGGGGCTTTAGGCGGTAAATGCTATGGTTTCCCGGGTACTCTGTACCCGCTTCCAAACTTAGTATCAAAGCGGGTTCACCGTTTGTCTTTTTATAGATCAAAATCAATATCAATAAGAATTCAAGTAGATTTAAAAACTATCATATAGGCCCATTGGCATTGTATAAACAACTCTTGCAAAAAAAATCCCTCCGACGCCGTCCCCGGCAGATATGCGCCACCAAGAATGTGGTTCGGGGATAAGACGGCCTGCACACCCTTTCTCAGGGCCTTGTTCTGACTTGAATTGTTGGCCTGTTCCGTGGCGGGTGCCAGATGCCACAAAAATGAAAACAAAACGATAGAAACACCTTCGGCCGTACACAGTCATGACATTCGTGATCCTCGTTCATCGCTGGAGACAAAGCTATGCGAAGAAAGGTGTACACCAAAGACAAGAGCAAAAAAAAAACCAAAAAAAGAAGAGAATCAAGGGAAAAAGGAAATGGTAAATATGACAAAAGACACCAAAAAAAAAAACAAGGCTGATAAAAAAAACTAGATCAAAAAGAAAGTCGGTTCGCTCGGAGCCACAATACAAAAAGGGGTAGAACCTCGCTAGGAGGGGCACCCGTCGGATTCTTCGTTAAAGAGCGATAGATGCGCTCGCACATCGTTACGACAATGGTTCGCATATTCTCAGGTGTTAACATTCAAAACGAAATCGCGGAACTGTACTCGCTGGAAACAGCAGTCGTGGTAAATATCATCATCATAATGCGTTTGCGCATCGGGGTCGTCTAATTGGCGCGAATCACCAGTCGCGACACAAATTTATTTGAAAGGCAGTCGAAGTCGCCACGGTTGAATTTCGTGCCCGTGCGGCTGCGGAGGTAGGTTTCTGCAAGATGGAGTTAGTTTCGGAGAAGTGGGAAAGATGGTGAAAGAGTTTGTCTCTTACCATGTTGCTCGACATGTTGGCGGACTTCGGTCATGGTGTTGCACACATCCGGGTTGGAGTACAACAGCTGGTGGTGCTTTTGTGAGTCCCACTCGGTGAACGGAGGCAGCTTTTGTGAGATGGCCTGGAACAGTCCGACGATGACGCCCACCGGGGTGGTTTCCATATCGGTGCAGAACTTGTCGACGGCAGACTGGTCTGGTGTCCGGTAGTGGCTGTCGAACTGCATCTCCTCCCACACGGCCAGCAGAATCGAGGCCAAGATGAAGATCGTCGGCCAGTTCTTCAGCTTGTCGCCGCTGTACACACTCGAGTAAAGTGCCGACAACTCCTCCAGCACATCCTTCTGCAGGTCGCGCCACATGCTAGCCATGGCATACTTAATCTGGAAATTGATCATGACGGGGGCCATGGTCTTGCCGGCGAACTTGGAGCCCATGTTCTTGATCTTGCCGAGGAAGCCTTCCTCCTCGCCGATGCCTTCAACCATAGTGACATGCATGGTGAGGTTGTAAGCAACCACCAGCTTCAGTGCCTTCCGGATAACGGGCAGCTTAGTGCGGAAGTAGAAGCGGAAGGCGGTCTTCAGCATTTGCGTCAGGAAAGGAGTGCCCTCGAAGTAATCGTCAACAAACTTCTCAAAGGTGCCATTGCCGTCGATGTGGCGGTCAAGATAATCCGACAGCATCGCTTGCGAGATGCCCTCCATACCAGCGGAGAGTTTGGCGGTCTCGACCTCGTATTCTGTTGGATCACGCTGCATCGACTCAATCCAGTCAATGTTGAAACACTTCTCATCACGGACATAGACTTCGCGAGCGTTGATGGGCATGACCTGTCCATAACCGTGAGTGATGAAGAGCGTGCGTTCCTGGTCTGAGAATCCGGTAATGTTGCCGACAGAGAAGCCCATGGTGATGTGGCGCTCGTAATCCGCCTTCCAGTCCTTCATGAAATACCCAATCTCCTTGATATCAATGCGAGTACATGGCACCTGCCATAACCGTGCGTGCGATGGTTGGCATCCTGCACAAGGCTCGCCCTTGTCGCACGTCTTCTTGAGGAACTTGCAACGCAGGCACGCGCGCAACTTCCGGATCTCGCTGGCCTGCTTGCGCTGGTCGGGCTTGAGGGGACCCTTTCTCTTGCCCACACGCTTCTCGGTCTCGGGCTTGCCGGTCTGGGACTGCTTGCGAACCTTGGTCTCGGCGGTCTTGGCGGCAATCGGGCTCTTGCGGGACGGTTTCCGACTCGGTGGTGAGGTCGATGCTTGAGAAGACCCAGCTGATCGAGCAGGGGATGTTGACTTCTTGATCGGAACCGGGATCGGCCGCACCATTCCGATGGGGCTGACTGCGGAAGGCGAGCGAGAACCTGGCGAAGACTGGTCACGAAGGACAATGGCGCTGCTTGTCGGGGAGGTACCGTGGATTCCAATAGAGCTGCTGTGACTGTGACTATGGCTGTGGTTGTGGCTGTGAGTATGGCTATGACTATAACTATGGCCGTGGCCATGATGATTATAGCAAGGCAAGTCCATGTTGTTCTCAGAACCTGGAGAACCGATGGGATTCGTGATATCCACAAAGCTGCCGTATGATGTGGAATATGAAGATTCTGAAAGGCTACGATCGTGCAGTGTCTGGGTGGGGTTGACGAAAACACCTTGTTCGGGGTAACCAAAGTCGAGAGAGCGGCGGTGGTCGATGGTACTCCAGCCGTTGTCGCTACTGGACAGGGAACGGACCTCCAAATAAGTATCGGTGGGCGAGCTGCTTTCAAGAACGGGGTGTGGGGCATAAGAAACATCCGGAAGCCCATTGGGGAAGGTCATCAAATCCGCTTGAAAGTCCTGATATGTGAATGGGACCATGTCGACCGGTGCCGACATCGGCAGATAAGGACCATCGAGCAAGCCCGCGGTCATCTGGCCCCCAGACATGAGATCAACGGGCGACGAATGCATGGGCATGCCATAACTAGTGGTAAACTGGGGCGCCGAGGACGGGTCTTCGGACGAATATGAGAGGTGGTGCTGGGTGTGTAATTGTTGAAAGTGCCAATCGACCATGAGATTTGGATCATGGGTCACCGACTGTTCCATAGGGTGACCGCCAGTTTGCAACGGGGAGAGACCATGGGCCTCTTCTGACCGTGGGGGTACTTGTTCTACCGCCACAGGCCATGTTTGGTGCTGAAGATAACCTCTGGAGTCGTAATCGACGCCAATCAGGCCATCATTGGATATATCGACATTGGACATGACTTTTTTGGAGTCAAAATGATCACGGGGAAGTGAAATAGAAGGGGAGGAAAAGGACCAGCCTGGATGAGAGGACCTTCTTCAGAAGGGTGACACCACCATGAAGAAGAGGGAGGTGAGGCGGTGGGGGGGACAAAGCAGCGGTGAGCGAAGAAATGCGCTAGGGGAGTTGATTGTGGAGAGTGGAGAGGCTGGCTGGGCGTGGAGGGAACGTTGATCCAGTACTGGACGATGAATTAATTCCACAGGAATTAGTTTGCATTAGTGTTGAATCGTAGGGATCGGAGGGATTTAAGAGGGACAAGATATAGAAGTAACCCTGTTAGACCGAGTTTGCTGATCCCATGATCTCTATTGAATTCTTTCCTAACTGGGAAAGGTTGCCTTGTTTTTCTTTTTCCTTCTATTTCATATATTTCATATCATTCCATATATTCCATATATTCCATATCTTGATTTCATATAGCTATTCCATATAGCTATTCCATATATTATTTCATATACTATTTCATATATATATTTTGTTTTTCCTAGGTTCTGACTGAGATCCTTATGGTAAATCATCCGTAAGACCGAAGATCAGTGGGGGGAAATAAAAAAAAACAGTGCGTATACACTGCGTGGCAATAGGCATAACCGAGATCTGACAGTCGGATCGTGTACCCAAAATAAAGTCCTTCCTAATCAGATCCAATCAGCTCTCTGTTTTCTTCGTATCTCTTATTTTAGGCCAGTTCGGGATGCTGACCATGCAGCTTAGGAATTCCCTATTAAAATAATATATAATATATAGTAATATAGCGCTAAGGTATGTATATTGCGAGAAGTACGGAGTATGTGGAATCTTGTTGAGAGTGCCAAGTCAGTATACTCCGTAGACTGGCAAAACATGAAATTGGACAGGTCTGCTTTTTAAAAAAATTTCATTCGCACGGATACTGGGGGACACCTGGGCACATGCAGCAAGGGTAAGCCGACAATATACTTGCGCACTGCATGGCGTCAGATCCATCACATATATTTATATATATATGTATATTGACTTCTGTGACATGCAGGACCTCTTCAGGAGTATTTCATCATACTCGAGATATGCATCTCCGGACCACGAGAAATCCTGGGTTTAACCGAAGGAAAAAGTGAAACTATCCGAGACCATATATGTTGTGATGTCAAAGATGAGACCCGGTAGAGAATCAAGTGGGGTAATATAATTCTAGACTTTTTACATTCACATTCACAACAATAGTAAGAAAATTCCATTTACATTTCTTTGAGCTTCAAATTCTACAAAAATACCCCATGCCGCTCATCGGGAAACCTCGCAAAGTTCGATTCCCGAACGCACACAAACCCAACCCAACCTCAACATTAGCTTCAACCAAAAAGGCCATGTCTACAGCCACTGACTCTAACCCGCCGCGCCCGGGGATCCCGGCCTTATTTACGCAGCCGCCGCCCATCCGCGACCCGCTCATCACCGAGACCATCGATCTGCAATACGCGACGCTGGAGAAATGCCTGCCATTCCTCAAAGGCATCCACAGCACCCAAACGGGCTTCAACAAACATGGCGTGCCTGCCTTGCAACGTGATATCCACACCATGTTCCTCTATGATGCCCTCGAGGATTATCCCGAGGGGTTCGTCGCTATGGACGCCAGCCGCCCGTGGATTGTGTATTGGGCGTTGGCGGGACTCGCCATGCTGGGAGAAGAGACGACTCGATTTCGCGAACGGTGCGTGCATGCTTTTACATCCTTGCTTTTTTTCTTTTGGTTTTTTTCTTTTGTTTCTCCCTTTCCCCGCCTCGTTTTCTAATTTGCTTCTTTCTATCTGTCATATGTCCACACAATGGAGAGCCTCTGGAGATATACCCTGATTGGAAAGGATCATCCTATCTGTATAGCGTGAAATATGGACTTAAAAAAAAAACGCCACTCTAAACTTTTCTCTATTTTAGTGTGATTACTACGCTTCGGCCGATGCAGAACCCCACAGGTGGCTTTGGCGGCGGCCATGGCCAGACATCCCATCTGGCGGGCAGTTATGCAGCCATCCTGTCGCTGGCTATGGTTGGAGACGAGGAAGCCTTTGGATTGGTGGATCGAAACGCGATGTGAGTTGTCACCGGCAGCTTCCTGCTGCATGTGCGTCTGTGATCCTGTGCGTCTGACCCTTTTCTGGCTTCCCTAGGTGGAAATGGATCAGCAGATTGAAGCAGCCAGATGGAGGATTCCGTGTTTGTGAGGGCGGGGAGGAAGATGTGCGGTAAGTGAAACTACAGGGCTGGAGCAGGCGCTTGCTCGTGATCCCGTTCCCCCTTCCCCGATGCAAGATCTGACCTGTCATTAATGCAGTGGCGCATATTGCGCTATGACTCTGATTTCGCTACTTGATCTGCCGCTGACGCTTGCTCCGGGCTCCCAAGCGCGGGAAGCCGGATTGGAGAGTTTGACGAGTGGTCTTCCTGAATATCTCTCACGCTGTAAGAATTTGGTTTGGTTTATAGTAGGCTTGAGATGTGCTGACGCTTGCCCTTAGGCCAAACCTTTGAAGGAGGTATCTCCGGCAGTCCTGGGTCGGAGGCCCATGGGGCGTATGCCTTTTGCGCTCTAGCATGTCTGTCTATCGTGGGACCTCCCGAGGAGATCTTCAACAGGTGCGTGATTACTCTAGCCTAGAATGCTCTGTTTTTCATATGCTAATGGTTCTTGACAGGCACATGGACATTCCCATGTTGGTGTCATGGTTGTCTGCACGCCAGTCCGCCCCAGAAGGTGGACTTTCCGGACGAACAAATAAGCTGGTAGATGGATGCTACAGCCATTGGGTTGGCGGATGCTGGCCATTGCTTGAATCCTCTCTAGAGGGAAAGCCGAATAACACCGAGCCACCAGCCAACAGCCTTTTCAGCCGCGAAGGTCTAACCCGATACATCCTTGGTTGTTGTCAAGGGATCGATGGCGGTCTTCGTGACAAACCGGGCAAGTATGTTCACTCCTATCTGTGACAGTTCCTTTTTTTGGGTATGTAGCTGACCAAGACCAAGGCACGTCGATTCATACCACACCTGTTACGTTATGGCAGGGTTGAGCGCGACTCAAAACCATCATTATCGGACAGACTCGAGTATCTCGAGCGGCAACTTTTCATCCTCGTTTTCCTGGAAGACTTCACCGAGCCGCAATCCGGGCAATGTGTTTTCACGAGGTGACCGGCTAGAGCCAATGCACCCTTTGTATGTGATCCCGCACAAAGCCGCGGAGCAAATGCGGCTCTGGTCCGAGACCCAGCCCCTCACTGTCTAGCCTTAACCAGAAGACACGGGACAAAGCGCCACGACGGATGAGGTTGGCTTCAGAAAGTTGAAACAGGTGTCATTGGTAACCAAGAACTCCGAGCGAGTGCATATGCACAACTAGTCTTGGATGCTTGAGACTGCAAGCCCCGCGTCATATCAGCGGTCATAACATGGGAGCCACGAGGATGATTTTGACCAAGCCAAGGAAGATATTGTGAACGAGACCTAGACGCAAGGGGTTGGGTTGGAAATGTCGGGGGCCCGAGTATGACTTTACAGCATAGGTCATAGCACATAGCACCAATTCCTTCTGGTTTTTCTCTCTTTTGTGCTGGCAGCTTTTTCACCGATTTTTTGAAGTTTTCAAAACCCCCCCCCTTCAACGCTAAGGATGAAGATTTTACTTTTCCCGCCATTCTTGCCGATCAATATGAAAATGCTCCTACAATGTACATCATAATGTGTTTGCCACAAAAGACATAAGCTGCATGAGGCCCAAGAGGGCAAAAGTAATCGGTACCAGAATATGCAGATAAATCTAACGCCTTTCTCCACTGCAATGCCAGCTCATCACTCCGATGCCTGCCGAGTAATTGAAGTTCCTGGGTGCATGCATTTTCCCATTCTCTGTCCACTCTACCCACTTGTCTACTTTGATTATTTCATTGACTCATAGCCCTTTCACAAGCAATTGACCCCTCTTCAGACGCGTTCTGCACAACATGAACGGCCCCTCCTTGGCACCAATTACCATTCGAAGACCTGCGCGTCTCGATATCTAGGGCGGCAAATTTAATTGTACTCTGATACGTCTGCGGGGCCAAAAATGAAATGAAGAGATTCCCAACAAAAAACAACCCGTGTATAGAGTATAGTATAGCACTATAGCACCCGCTATTCCAATCACTCCGTAATCCTGGGATCCATAATCTTCAGATATTATCCTTCTGCAGATTACCAAGGTGTCTCTTAGTCTCCGAGAATGTTTATGTTTTGATCGGCGAATTGCAGGGGCATAATCAGACAGCTTACCCACGGTGACTCCCGGTTCTACTGGCAAAGAGATATGCCAGCGCATCACTAAAACCCGCCGAGAAAATGGCACACGAAATACGTCGAACACCCGTTTGAGTTACTGTTACCTTTTTTTTTGGGGGCCTTTCTCAAGGTCCAATGTGAGTCTGGCGTTTGCGGACATCTTCTTCTCTTCTCTTGTACTTTGTTTACTTGGAGAAGGTAGTCTATACTCGGATTCCAGGTCCGTGTCCTGGGGTCTCTTTCGAGATTTGATTGTTTACTAGCTGCTTAATATTACTATATACTCGTCTTTTCTTTTTTTCCCTTCAATCTTTCAACGGTGGGTATTGAAATCCCAGTAGTTTTAATTTTTTGATGCCCCTTTTCTTGTTCAGGTCATCTGCATTGACACCAAGTATCTCCTTTTTCTGTTTCTTTGTGCGCTGTCGCAATTGGAACCGTTTCCCTCTGTTGGTACTGTGTACACCGGCCAGCTCACGGTATGACTTTGGAAGGGTATCAATGCAAAAAGCCCCACCTGTTTTCCAGAAGTAATCAAGTATATGGAAAGCAGCAGCTCTGTTCCCCTCATTAATTTGTTTTTTTTTTTTTTTTTTTTTTTGTTGTACGGAGGGGGGAGGGGGGACTCGGTTCTACTATATCTGTATATGGGCGTGGCATCTTTCCAATATTTCTTCTCATTTTGATTTAGTTCTCAATCCTTCTCTATTGCTCTTACTCTGCTTTTTATTCCCCTCTCATTTGAAATAGACCTTGGCCTTTACTAGCATTATAATCGTGCTTTTGTTTGGAACGCCAGCACATCCTCCCCGCTGCTAGTAAAGCAAACGCGGTCCCGCCAGCCGTTGGGCATCACAATCCGCATATCTTCTGACTGCACACCAGCTGGCAGCACAGCCTCAGCCCTAAACTTGTCTCCCTGCAAGCCAGATCTGTCCAATGCGTGTCGAGTAATCATCGCGATTCGTTGCAGTTAGACAAGTGGCAACACTGTCCGTCGCCCGTCTCCAGTTTTCCCGTCTTTCTCGCTTCCGCCTTGCTTGCGTCCAGTCCGAATTCCAAGATGTACTATATCCTCTACCTAACCAGTATGTCGTCACTCTCCTCACCACCTCCTCCCCGAGCTATGTATGTCATGCATCATTGCCAACACGAGCCAATCCCCGAAGCATCCAATCCAGAAAAGCAAATACCCAAGCCCTAATCCTACCCCTCTCCACACCAATCCCAAGCCCCAAAACTAGACTAACCAATTTCAAACCTAGGCCTTTGCCGGCGCCGCAACTGGCCCGAGCCAATCTACAACGCCTACACAAATAGCAATGGATACACCTGCACCGTGCGTGTCAACAACCGCGAGTACCAAACAGATAGCATCTGCAGCAACGAGACTCTCGCACGTGAAAGCGCTGCTATGCGTGCCTACCTTATCTGTCGCAACTTCTCCGTCAACGACGGTATGTACCCGGCCGGCCATGAGCACGGCGGCGCTGTGCAGGGCATGCGTGCTGCAATTGGCGCAGGACGAAAGACTCTTCGTGAGGATGATGTGCTTTCGTTCGGGTCTGGGAGTAGGAGTGCTAGCGGGAGTGGGAGCGATAGTTCTCAGGGTGGAAGTTGGAGCGGGGGAAATAGTCCCGTTAGGGTTGGGACTGAGGGGGATGGTAGGGGTGGATTTGGAGGGAGGGTTTGAGGTTTGATTTGATTGGAGAGTGTTACGACTTTATGATATTATGGATGTTTATGACTACGCCTTTTTGGTATGCTTGTGGACTTTTTAGAGGGAAAATGCGGTATTTTGAATGACTCTGATTTGTGGTTCTTGGTTATGTTATCCCATGGTTGGACTATTGATGATGTTACCTAGATGGTGGATTTATTTTTTTATTTGTTTAAGAGTGGTGGTTAGCGGTGAATTTATGTTATGTGGTTGTTTGCTTTTGACAGTTGTTGAATTTCTAGTATAGTCATAGGACTCGCCAACTTGTGGACAACTGGCATATACTAGGAGAGTTAGAATTAGCTGTTAGTAATACCCATCAACTTCGTTCTAAACATCTACCGTGCAAACCATTATGCCTCTTGTTGAATTTATATCACTCCCTATTTGCCTCTACCTCTAGTTATATTAGCTCACAGTGCCTACGCGGCTTCCAAAAGCGGCAGCTAAGGTAGGAAAATCCCTACCAGAGAAAGTCTGGTGTGTAGACGCTCCTAAAATTATATATCTAGATCTGAGACACTGAAGAAGAATAAGAAGAGGGGAAGTGTATTGTCTGAATGTGAACTCTCTATAAACGTAAAAAAAAATATATTTGGAGAAACCTTCAAACCAGGTTGGAATAAACCCACCTCTATACCTCTTGCGTCGTGTTCCACGCCATCGATTAATCTCATTCTCGAACTCGTCACTCTATTCAATGAACCAGAGCGGTAGATAGGATATTATCAACTGTGTCTATACCACTTCACTTCTGTCCAATTGTTGGCTTTTACTGAAAGTCTGCCACCCATAACGTTAGAGCCTTGTAATCAGATACGCCTCTCTCTCCATCTCTTTCCTCTCCTCTCTCCCTATCCGCTCCCATTGATAGTAAATGCACCAAATTCTTTCTCTCCATAGAAATCCATCATTGATTAAAGCTCTCTAGATAGTCCCATTCCTCTGGGATCCACCCCTGCTCAAAACAGGTATATCGCCTGAATCGGAGAAGATCATATAGGCGTAAACAAAGCTCATCGTCATCTAGAACATGGGACCTTACAGCCGCTGGGAGCTCAATAATTTGAGCGTAGAGAGCTAGTAAAAGATCTGGCTTCTGATGTTGACAAAATCTGTAGCGAGAATGGCTTTTATTAAGCTAAGTGCCGTAGATAGGACCGTAGACTACTAGCTCAACAATATGTGCTACTGCCCTCCGATCATCATGCTGGCTAAAGATCCCAAGTGCTTGCCATATCTGTCTAGTGTTTCTGAGATCCATCCCCCGTACAAACTTGCAGGTGGCTCTCGACATGTTGGAAAATGATAAGAGCGGAGAATATAGATAAAGACGATCGATGCTGAGTATCGGAAGTTGATATGGGACTTATCGACTATTTGTGCCCCGGGACTCGATTAGCTCTTTATGCTCGAATATAATGGCATTTGATCTCGACCTGCTTTGTTGCATTGTTTGTGTATTCATTCTCCATGAGAGGAGATCTCAGAAGGAACGAAAAGAAAATAAATTCAGGGAGACTGGAGAACGTCAAACATAGCAAGACTAACCAGACGGGCTCCAGGATTTTTCTCCCGCTATGCAGATATCTGCCATGTAAGGAGCCGGATAATTTTCCAACTTGATATCTCCAACGTAAAACCCACAGCCAAAGTACCATATCCGAAGACCAGGATCATTAGCTGCTCTTGACTCGCTTGAGCTTTGCTTGCTGTTCTCAAATGGTGTTAAGAAAGCGTTCAAGCAGGTACTTGCGCTATATGGCCTGAAGATCCCCGGTGGCACAACTGAGCATATAATATGACATACCTCTTGCCCCTCGGGCATACTCATTGTATTGGGAGACAGGATTATCGGAGCATTCACATGTTATAGACTGTGCCAGTCACGTGGGTGGTTGGAACCTTGGAAGCTAATGCCCACTCATGAGGCTGACTGTAGGTACTGAGGCTCAGCCGCAGGTGGGTGCCCCTGGATCCGTTTCCACTTGTCACCTACCACAGTTTCCAGATCGCAAATACTATCTTTTCCATCCCAGCCGATAAAAACATCGCAAAAAGGTTGGAACCTGCAGCTGGATTTCCTACTACATCGTGCCAACGAAAATGGAGTCGCACGAATCACAGTTCCATGATCTAACGTGGGTGCAAGAGTCAATATTCGGTTCTGAGCCCCGATAGAATTTTCACTTATCAAACTTCCCGAGACAACCTGATTGGATTTGAATGGATGCTCATGAGCAAATTGCCTGGAAAGCCCTTTGGTGAAATTTGCCAGTATCTTTCCTTCGATGCCAAAGCACGCCTGGTTAGGGAGCTTGCGACAAGCTCGGCTTGCCTTTTTCGAAATCAACTAAGCGGAATTGGAGATATCTACGGGGAACCATCAGTTGTTGAATAACCAACATCATGCGAGCAAATCCCGCCGCCTAGAGAGCTGGTCGATACCAAGATATCAGTTCCGGCAAAGGAATCCGACTCAGATGGTGGTAGCGTAGCCATGAAAAAGAACCCAGGAGCTCCTCTATTCAATCCACCCGCCAATCTTTCTTCAGGAGGAACCTTACCTGATGTGGGTCGAATTGTTTCTATGCTGTTTTTTGGGATTCACATATCCACCAAGATGTCCCGCGAGGCCCATTCCGCTCAAGTAAGAACTGGATTACAGCTCGCCTTTTATTCAACGAAAATGACTGTCATTCGGCTCAGAATAAATATTCAGCTGGAGACCTTGATAGCGACGCTGAATGCGAAGTGGAGGACGCTACAACAACACTGCAAATAATCGACGACCTTAGATCCATTCTTCCTCTGGTATTTCCAACGGATGATGAGGATCCAGAACCATCAATGATCTTCCACGACGACATCTCACGACACAATATTCTCGTTGACGACAGCGGGAAACTGACTGGCTTGCTAGACTGGGAGTGCGTCTCAGCGGTGCCTTTATGGAAGGCCTGCGACTATCCTTCATTTTTAGAGCAGCGACCACGACGCTCAGAGCCTAACATTGAAAGATATAAACGCAGTGTCGACAAAGAACCTAGTGAACTGTACTTTGAGCACCTATGGCATTATGAGATCACTCTTCTACGCGATATATTCATTGATGAGATGAGAAGACTAGACTTGGGATGGGTCGAAGTTTTTGAAAAGAGCCAGGTCAAAAGAGACTTTGACAATGCAGTGCATAGATGTGACAGTGATATATCTGCCCAGGAGATCAAAGCATGGATTGGAGACATGACCGCTGGTATAAGCATTGACGATAGGATCTGGTCACGGGGGGCAATGCCAATGTAATAATGACTGTATTTTGAAGTGTGATGGCTGACCTATCCCAAAAACCTATGTATCATGTCAATATCCACGATTAACAACAATCGAGGCCTTCTGAATTTGTTGAATAAAAAGAACTCAGAACTGCCAATGATCACTAACCCAGAATCTGCTGGGAAATTCACTATACGGCTTCTTATCTGGCCAATTTAGGCGACAACATTCGTCAAATGTTCCGACGATATACGCGTCTTCAGAATTATTCACTGACAAAAAAGAACTAGACCGATCTTCTGGTTTGAGGATATGTCAGTCCGTTTACATACAGCCGAAATGTAGCCACCGTATTTATAAGAAAGACAAAAGGCTTTTATTTTTGATCTCGGGATCCAAATGGCCTTATATAAACAATCGTGTTGTATGAGAGGCTACTGTAATTTGAAAATATCCTCACAAGTCGCCACTCATCTCCCCTTTCCTATTTTCTAGAGAGCAATGATCCCTCTCAGACGTTCTAGTTTGAGTTTCCTTTCTTATTGATTCATTCGTATGTATTCAATCGGTTTCATCTACAATCCATTAAACAAGAAACTCTGAACCAGGATAGTTGCCTATAGAACGCGCCTAACAAAAATGGAGGTGTAAAAGACTGCCAGAGCAAGCAAGGCAACCAAGCAAGCAATGCTGCGCCTCTGGGTTGGAATGCGGAGTAGATCAATAACGGAACATTTTGACGTACCTGATGACTTGGTACCGTTTGTAAAATTTGGCCAGGCCCAGTTTTCGAAATGTTCTGCATGTGCTGATCAGGGCGAACACGGGCGAGACTGCTACGGGCTTTAAGTTGGTGTATGTTGAAGTTTTTAAGACTGTTGTTACTATTGTGATAGTCGAGGAAATGGTGACCACATGCTTCTCAGGGCAACTATTCTTGAGTTTATGTATGTATTTCCTAAAAAGAGTGGCGATAAAATCAATCTCGGGTATGCTCGCGTACTGTAACCCCTTTAGCTTGCATATTATTCTAAGTAGAAAAACATATCAATCTTGGAAGTGGATTAGTTCACTATCATACTAGTGTGTTTTGTATTTCTCAGAACTTGACAGATGTGCATAGGCGCTTCGGGGGGGGGGGGGGGGCCACTCTCTAAAGATTACTGGCGGGGTTTCAAATGATATCTACATTAGGAGATCTAGACTCTGCGAGTACAAAATCGGTTCCTAAACAGGGATTATATGCATGTCTATCACCTCCCATAGTCGTGGTTATTGTGGCCGATTGGGTTCCAAGGTTCCAAGATGCGGGGGCTAGCGCGTATACCAATGCGGAACATTAGCACAAAATATTAGTCCCGAGATATCTATCATAAAACGACATTTATATTTGCTTATTATGTACCTAGCGCTTGTTTGAGCCTCTTTTTTAAACCCATGTTTGATTCGTGGCCTATAATTCCGAAATCTAATCACGCAGTACGGAGTAGCAAGGCCCGAGTTACTTGCAGCTGCGGAGCACCCTGCAAAGATTACAACTGTTAATGAGTTATGTAAGGCAACACCTGTAGTCTGATTGAAGAAACCTGGAACAGACAGCGCATGTTAGGGGAATCTTGCTGTCTGTCGTGATCCATGGAGGTTACAACATATATTTATTACATCAATATACGAGCAAATATAGTGACATATATACTCCTATCCATGACAGGAATTATCCTCTGTTATGTAATAGGATCTGCATTGCATTGCGACCCGTAGGAATAGTCAAGATCATACTGGTCTACCGATACAAGGTATTATGTGCCCATTGCTAGATGATGGCTCGAGCCAGAACTGTCGCTACAAAGTATGCTGTTAGACTGCTATAGCCGAGGTTAAACACAGGGATTAACTAAGTTGATAGATACATTATGCAAATTGTAGAATACCTGTTTTTGATGGCAAATTAACAAAGTTCCTGTTTTGAATATGCATCATAGGAGTGTAATACTGTATTCCCCCACAATTCCAAGGAAACGGCCTACAATGTACCCCAGCCTAAATTACATTGCTATTGTACAATATAGAACATATTAACAAAGTGGATTTTTCTATCATCATGCATGTAAGATCAAGTAATTTTCCCTTCTGTTACATCACCAAGAAGGTGGCTAAGTCGTTAGTTGGTTCTTGTTTGTTCCATGACATCATAGCGTAAACCCTCCTACCAAGCACCCTGCCATTTACTATAAGAAGCCCCTTCTGCTTCTGCCATTCACTTCAATCATCATACAATCCTCCAGCACTCAAACCAACAAACATTTAAAACTTCCAAACCCTTTTCAACAACCTTCCAACAACATCATAATGGAGACCGCCAAGGTTCGCATCATGTCTTGCATCTTTCTTATCAAGTACTAATACCTGACCTTAGAACGCTGTTAACTACGTCGCCGAGACCGTCCAGGGCGGTGGTGCCGAGGCATCTAAGGAGGCCAACAAGCACGTCGCCAAGGACTCTGATGCCAGCTTGGGCAGCCGAGCCAGCGCCGCAAAGGATGCCGTTGTCGACAAGAAGGACGAGGCTTCCCACAACACCAAGGCCGATGTCCACAAGGGTAAGATTATCAAAATCCAGGAAGATCGTGACATTGAATCAATACTAATAATATACAGAGGCTACCAAGCACTAAACGGGTGCTCACGGAAATTGGACTACTAGGATAATGAGATACCACTTTTGCTAGCACTCAGGTGATAGACACTGCTCTCTACCTGTACAATATTTGAAGATGACTTTATGCCAATGAATTATTTTGTAACATGCAATATATCTTGAACCTTGCACGCAATGTGCATACAAACTTCCTCTCGCTCCTCTCGCTCAGTCATACAATCACTATTATCTCCGTAATCAAATATCTATTTGACTTGCACCAACCGCCTCAAGAAATCAAAAGCCATGCCTAAAAATGATTAGTAGTAAGATGAACAACCAACTTAAAACTTAGAAAGCAACTTTAGAATCTTGGAAATTGACCTTAACTGATCGGACCCACATGTGCCCTCACATGCATATAATATCATCTACAATGAAAGAAGGTTCTAGATATTGTTCACACTCAAGACTATAGGTTATTCTACTGATTTCAATCGAATAAGCTCGATATCGCCACTTTCAATACTTGAGGAGTCAACCTTGGAAGTTGTGTAAGTTACGTCATCAGTGATCATTACCTAGGTATGTACCTAGGTAAACTGGCAACAGAGGCGAAAACAAGGACGCAAAACAAACAATGCGACCCAATCCTGCTGCGTGCCAGCATGTTTACCAGAACACTATTATATAGCATACTTCGTCATCGGATCTGGGAATTTACTTTAGTATAGTATAAAGACTTGGTTTTAGGTTAAGCTTATCCCCTTGAAACATCTTCTTCTACATTGAAGCTATCTACAAAGCACTACTGTTACAATCACAATCCTCACAAAGCCGCAACATTCTCTCAGAAACAATGGCATCCATTATTACTTCCATCAAGGACCTCATCACCTCCATATTCGAGGTGATATTCTCTGTCGTCAAGAGCACGCTGGATACCGGGTATCACCTACTCATGGCCTTTGTCGACTTCTTTGCCGGTATTCCCAAGATGTTACAGCACATGGTGAAGGGCAGTCTGGAAGCTGCAGGTGGAGTTGGGACATTCATTACAAGTGAGTTCCTTATGCCCGACGATTCAGCAAAATATCGAGCTAACGCTTCATGCGAAAAGGTAACATCATCGTTATAGCTATGATCGCCGTTGGCGGCTATGGCTACCTGGCATATCAACGTCGTGAAGGCCGCCCAGTTCAGGCTGGGACCAAGAAGTTAAATTAAGGAACCATTGTCAGTTTGGTATTTCAGCGAGAAGAAATTTGGTCGTTGTTGCAAGTCAAATAGGTGTTTAATTAAAGGGGGCTAGTTTTCTTACCTTTTTGCCTATCCCTTTCATACGCTAATTGGGCCTATTCCACGTTAATTACTAAAAATCGACTGGGATTCTCAACAAGCTCTGATCAATCATTCCTCAAACTCCCTACCTTGGACTCAAGTCTTCCTTCTAGCCCGTACAGCACCGTCCAATGCGACACCATGCCTAATAATATCTGCTTACCAGATAACACATGTTCCTCATCAGACCTTGTTTTCCTTCAATTGTCGTTGATTCTCAAAAAGGTGGATCGCACCCCATCAGATGCCGTGGTCTGCTTTCCGCTGACCTTTCCTTCAACCAAGTGCAGGCCTCTTCGATGACAATCTGTGCGTGACGCCTGGCTTGAAGCTGTAGCCCAACCGTGTGGCACGTTCTATCTGGTCCCGCTTGGACTTGGTTTACCCTTTCAATAACCTGACTTCGACGTCTTTGCACCTGATAAGTCCTTTTCTTTCACTTGTTACCTTGCCGCAAGTAGCCTCATTTGGGTGGTGTGATCCACATCAAAAATCAAATATCCTCAAGCCCTCTGCTATTTACGAGCTCTATAACATGGGAAAAGTGGAATCTACCGCAAGGACCATAGGGACGACGATGCCTACTTCACCCATGTTTTGACTCGACCCCACAGAAACGAAAACTCCCACAATGAGGAAAACTTTACCGTAATTCTTAGTTAGCGCAAATCCGAACAGAATGCAGGCGTCAAGCATTCCGCTGTCCATGAACAGATCCTATTTTCCTGGTGCTCCTGAACCCACAGTTTCGCATCGAAGACCGGAGTTCGCCACACTACTTAAAGGTTTGCGTGGACCATACCCATCTAGGGCTAAGCATAGAGACACGCCCATTCCACCATGGACCCAAGGAAATCCCACCCCGCCCCCCCCAAAGCAATAATCACACCGGACCGTGGTGACTCAGGCTGTCAGGGATTGGTTCTAACAGTGGCCTTGATCCATCCTAATAAAAAATGATGCACCATGGATGGTAAGTTAGTTTGACTCTTAAACTACATTTCCATTTATACATTTCCATTTTTTATTCATTATTAATCGTGTTTGGTAT